GAGGCCACTGGTGAGACTGTCAATGCTGCAAATGATGGGGCGCCCGGGGGGTGTAGTGCAGTTTTTGTGAATCTTGGGTAGGTGATAGAAAAAGGGTGTTTTGGGTTGTGGGGGGCACAATACTGCTTTCTCTTTTTAGTGATGATTTTTTTCGTCGAACACTTGCTCAATCAGGGGTTTTAAGGCGTTCAAGAATTGGGGTAATGGGTCAGTTTTTAGTTTCTGGTAGGTGGTGGTGTCTGACAGCAATCTATAGGCCTCTTTTGTGTAATCGTTGCGGTTTTGGATGCTAATGCCACCGACTTTGTCTGCTTGTCGGATGGAGATGAGTTTGTTGTTGGTCAGTTCCTTAAGAGCTTTCAGTTTATGGTGGGATAGGTTGGTTTTGTTCAGTTGTTTGGCCTGGCTATTTGCTTTAGGCGTTTTTTGTTTGTGGAGGATCACATAGTTTGACGAAGTCTGTGTATGTAACTTGATAGAAAGTTTCAATGTACGCTCCTTTGGATTTGAGTGGGTAGAATTTGGACGGGGGGTGAAGAGAGGTGTGTCTGCAAGTTGGGCTGGATAGATTCTCTAGAAGAAAATCGGCTGGGTAGCTGGGGTCGGCTAACTCTTCCAAGATCGCCAGGATATCCACGTCCGGTGCCGAATCTTGGGGGGGGCGTGGGTAATGCGGCCTCGGTGTCTGGTGGTATGGTTTTGTTGTAATGTCTTTTTAAGGGTGAGATTGCGGTCTTTGAACAAGGTGAAGGAGTTGGGTTTGATGTCGGGTGCAAAATTTAGGCCCTTTTTGAGTAATGCTTCCACGTGGGAGGTCAAAGTGTAGTTGGAAAGATTTAAGATTTTTTACTGTGGATTGTTTAGGGACTGTCTTTCTCCCTTTGTGGCATAATGAGTGTGTCCCTCCTCTCCTTGTTTTTTTCTTTTTGGGGGGCGTGTAATGGATGTGGTTAAATGACTATGATAAAAATGCCTATTTCAATATATATTGTAATATATATATATATGTTATTGCTCCTGTTCATATTAATCCTTAATCAAAACGGCTGCCTAGTTAGTTGCTCAACTTAGCACCCCTCCCCCTCCTATGAGAAGTACGCACTAGAAATAGAAACCAAGATGGCGCCTCCAGGAGAAACAACACCCAAGACGAGACGTCCTGGAAGGAGGTTACGCTTTAATGAATCAGTCCAATTATAACCTAGAAAGCTATCGCAAACGCTATGTTTACATATACACTATCAGCTGCCTATATAAAACACAACAATGCAGAATAATAAAGAAGTATTTTTACTCTGACTCTCGGTGTCAGCGTGTTTTATTTCTTCACTGATACCGTAGTGTGCACACTTTGTACTGAATTTGGCCCAGGGAGAGATATATGTCGGATTCTTGATGTCCGAGTCCTTAACAGGCGCATGGCACCCAACGTGGGGCCTCGGGTTCTGTACCGAAGGACAGCCGATCGAGAGGAGACCAGGACGCACCAACACACGAGGCAGCAGAGACTGCTACCTATGAAAAATACGGTAAGAGATAACATTTAATATCTTCTTGCCAATATATCCTGCCTCTGTTTTGGCCTGTCTCTGTGTTCATATCGGCTTCCCACGGTCAGCAAAGAAAAGACAGGTAACGCATCTTGCCCGAGGTCCATTGATCAAGAACCTGTGTAATCTATATCTGTCACCTGTATATGTTGTGTTGTTGTGTTATATGTATTGGCCTGTGGTAGGGTTGTGGAGATATCAGACGAAAAAGGTGGTCACAGATGACATGCACTGACGTACTTAAACTTAAACGTACTTAAAGTAAAACATCAGGATCCTGCTAAGTAGCATGGAAAATATTAAAAATACGTCAATGCAAGGGTTGGATTTTTGAAAAAAGGAAAATAAGTGTATTCTGCTCCAACAGATAACATTTATTCATTGGAAAGGATAAGATAGATGGCACATTTCAACACGCTGGCCTTATCAAAGAGTTTTATTCCTTTCAGCCAATTCTGCACAGATTGCTCCCTCTGATGCTCTTCACCCCAGAATGCTTAATTGTAGAAACTCCACAATTAGGCTGTTTGAGGTGAAATGCGTCTGGGAATAGTCTGTGTGGAATGTGCTGAGGTAGTCCAGAAGCATTTTGATAAAATGAAGGTGAATAAAGCACCTGGACCTGGATTTCAGTTATATCTTGTTTTTAATGACTGACATAGTACAAATGAATTAAAGAAGATGTGGTCCCTATATTTAAAAAAGTACCAAGGTCTTCACCAAGCTGTAACCTTTAAGGTTAAAGAACTCCAGGCATAATTATTTTAAATCCTTGCAGTGGGGCAGTAGAAACAAAAATAAAACAAAGTTATGCTGACCAGAAACTCGCAGCCGTTTGGCTGCTATTCCGGTCCCTGCTGCCTGTCCCCTCCTTCGCGCCAATGATGCAATGTCCCTCGGCGTCCTCACATCCTGTACAGTGTAAAGGAAGTGATGACTCACAGGACCTTATACAGACAGAGCAGAGGGAGAGTGAGGTGGCAGGGACCGGTCTAACAGCCAGCTACAAGGTTCTTGTGAGTATACTTATTTTTGTCCCTAGACGAAAATAGAGCACCTAACCCTTGCAGTGTGGGGGTACAGCCCCAACTCCAAGGGTTAAGAATAATTATGCCTGGAGTTCTTCTTTAACTTTTATTTAGGGAAAATTTTGAGTGTACTAAAGCAGTGGTCACCAACCTTTCGGACCTCATGGACCACTAAATTCATAATTTAAAATCCCGCGGACCACTTATATGAATAAAAAAAAAATATATATATATATTCTCATAATCTTTGTTTTCTCATATATAAATATATTCTCATATGTGTATGTATGTACAGGGGTGTGGAATTCCTATCGCCCGACGCCCGGGATATGCAGTTTCGGGTGCCAGGCGAGTAGTTTTTATGTACATTTAGCCCGGCTCCGGACAAGCAGAGCTGAATGTACCACTTGTATCAATTTGAGCAGTGGCGATCGTTTCTGCCCGCCCCCCGCCGTAGTTTTCGGGGTCCCCCGCTCTCCTGGGGGACCCTGAAAACTACGGCACAACGGCTCAGCCATAGAGCAGATGAAGAACGTCTGCTCTACGTGCTCTCTGAGACCGTGGCGCTGTATGCACAGCGCCACATGTCTCGGCTGTCAGGAACTACACAGAACAGCTGTTCTGTGTTGGAGGGCAGGTTCCATAAAGAGAACCTGTCACCTCCAAACTATCACATAAGGGATTTTAATCCCCTATGTGATAGGAAGAACATTAAGTGGAAAAAAGTAAATAAATAACAATTTAAAGAAAATTTTAAAAAGTTAAAATAAAATATATAAAGATTTAAAAAATAAAATAAAAATGAAACCCTGCTGCCCCCGCCATCTGCATGCAAATAAACGCATGCGTAGGACATTCTGCATGTGCTTTGAGATTGCAGCTGCCATTCCATGGAGTAATGCTCTGGACTACAAATCGCAGAGATGTAAAGCTTATCTCAAGGATGAGCCCAGCTGTAAAGCTTGGCAAAACTTTAATTTCTATTTGTTGTCTGTTCTTGCAGTAAACTGCAAGGAAACTGACCCAGTAGCATTTAAAAGTACTTTACTTGACGAAAATGCTGCGTGTACAAACTTAGTTACAGGAAAAAACAAATTACATAAACAATACAGGCTGCTACAAACATTCACATGAACCCACTACACTATCTTCTAGTACATGTATGATTTCTAGGAGGGGAAACATTGAAAATTTACTTTGCTCAGGCCGCAGGTTCCTAAATTCCGTAATGAACCAGACTTCTTGGCACAGGCGTTCTTAGGAAAATGGCTTCTCGTTGCAGTCTCTGCTAAATCCTTTGTATGTCCTGGTCTTGAAGCAAGTCCTCTTGTCTTGTGAAGCCCCCTCGTACTGTCCCCCTCCTGTGAAGCCCTCGTCTTGTGAAACTGTGCTAAAGGACCACATACAAGAGTATCTACTAGAAAACAATCTAATAAGCAATAACCAGCATGGAATTATTACTGAAGTTCAGTTAGAATGCTGACGTTATCAAACAAATTTACTTTTCCTTTCATAAAAAGTAATCTGAAACTTAGACAAAGAGGAGGGGTGCTGTGAATGTACTATATTTGGACTTTGTGTTAGACATGGTTCCCCATAGATGGCTAATGTATATGTTAAGGTCTGTAGGCTTAGAATCATTAAAAAAATTATCTGTTTGCAGAGGATTTAAAGCTGTGGTAGAATAAAGTCTTACAAGATATCACTAATTATCATGGATACACCATTTGATCAAGCACATACATCACAAATGCAGTTGAAGTTGATACAACATAGCTTCCAGTCAACTATCAACTAATGAGGTTTGAAGTTGATATTACATCACAGCCAGGCAACTAGCAATTTTCAGAAATAGGTCAGCAATGCCAGTCTCTATACTTTTTTCATGACAGGTTTACTTTAAGGTGATCACACTTTAAGGGGAACTCTGCACCTGGAGGTAAGGAGATGTAACTTCTGTATAAGAAAAGGGTTATGTCTATAAAAATGTGTAATTGTCTTTACTAGGAGCTACTATTTGACTGCTTCAAAAAAAGGGTTGGGTGTGTTTCTAAATCCACTTATTTATAAGTAACACTAGAATGTTGATCCAGGAAGTATCGGATTGCCTTTTGGGAAGGATTTATATCCGTTAGAACAAATTGGACTACACCTAATGGTGTTTTTTCCCCCTTGCTCTGGCTCACCTATAGAGTGCTAGTGTTTTTATTTATTTATTTTAGTTTAACTTTATAGGCATGTATTTCTTAACCTATGTAACATAATACTAGCATTTCTCATTAGCAAAAGTCCACAAAAGACACTTTAGATACAAATATACTGTGTGTTTATTTGGTTAATAAATGCATTATATACATACACAGCATAGATATTTTGCATGAGTTACAGAATATTGTACAAATTTCATATTTTTATTTAAATAAATGAACAAAAACACAGTACAATGAAATCAACATATCCAGATCAGCTCATTTCTAATTTGGTAAATCCAGCTATGGGGTATTTAAGTTTAGAAGCTTGCTCCAGTCTACTGTGGGGAAAGAGAGAAAAAAAATGGAACCGTTTTCCCATTTTATTTGGATTCATAAGAACATCATAGCTCGCTATCAAATGTTGCTGTGTAGCAGCATCTTTAGCATTTTCCATAAGGACCTGAAAGCATAATTGGTTTGTAAAAACAATTAAAAAAATGAATCAGCACAATACAGTGGTCTAAATATAGTACTATGTATTGCAATTCAAGAAGTTTCACGGATTTAACACATGCCATTATTATTTTGAGTGAGAAAACACCTTTCTTGCCATTTAAAACAAGTGCCACATCTTGTGACCTAAACCCTAACCAGCACAAATCCCATGGTGCTGTTTTACAAACCGACTGCAAAAAGTCTACTATTTCAAATCAGGCAGATCATGTTTGGTAAATGAGTTTTGATGAAGTGAGTAAGAAGATCAGAGACATAACCAGGAAGCATAGCTTGCATGCATAACAAAGCAAATATACCTGCCCAAATATACATACTGCATATATAATTACAAACCATACGGAGAAACAAATTTCTTTCACATCTATCTACAAAATAAATAAATAAAGTTGCCTTTAAGGTTGGGTTTGAAAAATTGGCTCATCTATGATCTATATACTGACCAAGCCAGCAACAGTAGGATAAAAAGTCCTAAAAGGCACTGATCTTGGAAAAACTTTCTAATCAAACCTTGTTAAGTTACTTTTTGGGACCATATTGTTTTAGAATTACAATTATATGTACCTCATTATGCCTTTCATTGGAATTCTTTCACTTCTTTGGTATACTCTTAAATCTCTCTACAATCTTCTCCCATTGTGTAACAAGACTCTTGTTAGAGTTACATTATTATTATGCAGGATTTATTTAGCGCCAACAGTTTGCGCAGTGCTTTACAATATAAGGAAGACATTACAATCACAATACAATTCAAGACAAGATGGTAAGGAGGGCCCTGTCCATGAGCGCTTACAATCTAAAAGGGAGGTGCAAGTGATACATTAGGAGGTAGCTGTGTGGGGATGAATTGTTTGAGAAATATATACACATATATATACATTTTAAGTCTCCTTTGCTTATTTTCATCATCAATGTTTTCTTCTCCTCTATAAGTCAACACTTCCCTTTTCTGTTTTCACTTTCGACCTCCCCTACTTTCTTATCTATCTGTTTAGTGCTAACGCAAAATCCCTTAGTAGGAGAATATAAAAGAAAATTAACTTTAAGTCATCTTACCTTTAACCGAAAATCAATTCCCATATTTCTCAAGAATTCGTGTTGTGTGATAGGACCTAAAAAGCTCACTTTGTTTGCAGTCATGTTTTTCAAAAAGTTAAAGTCAACGTCAGCTGTAAGGTCTGCTGTTCCTGGATCTAACAGCACGTTGTGTAATTGGTGAGACCGGAATCCCTGAACACAAAATGAGAGCACCAACAAAATCTTGAGCATCAACAGCACTTTACCCAATCACTACAAGAGATCACATTTCTAGTCTATAACACCCTAACCAGTCTTAAGCTCTCCAGTTCTAATCAGAAAATATATTGGCTGAAGTAACTATTCTTATTACAACTACAACAGTGTTTCATGTTTCTTATTTCATATATGTGTAGAGTTACCAAAAGTAGCTGATGCCATGATGGATTTTATTGAGAGCAGTGAAGATATTTTTCAAAGATTACCATTATCTTGTGTTTACCTAATTGTGTGTCTGCAGGTACCCTATTTCAATACAGTTGAGCAAGTAAAAGTGAGAGGTGTTCCAAATGGCTTGTCTTAGATCAGTGATGGCTAACGTTTTTGAGCTCGAGTGCCCAAAACTGCAACGCAAAATCAATTTATTTTCACTGATTTCTTCCCCATACAATGGACCTGGAGTGACGCGTATTGCATCACTTCCGGTCCCATAGCTGTCACTCCTGGGCTCCTGAAGCCCAGCAATAAGCTATTGAAGTGCAATCTGCACTTCAATAGCTTATTTCAAGTGTAAAGGTGATACTAGGGGTCTTTTAGACCCCCAGCATCACCTTAAAGAGTACCTGTCACTGCCAATATGCTATCACATGAGGAGTTTGTAAGCCCCCCTATGTAATAGCATTTAAAGTTAAAAAAGAAAAGTTTTAAAAATATTAAATACATTAAATGTAAAAAAAAAATCTAAAAAAAAATGAGTTAGGTACCTGGTAACTCTGTTTCTAGGAACCTTCCAGGACAGCATCAGAGAGATAGGCTCCTCCCACCGGAACAGGAAACACATCACCCACACATAAAAAAAAAAAGAGCACAAGCCTTGCATACCTCAGTTAAAATATAAGAACCGAGGGATACAATCATTGTTAAACCATTTGAAATATACACTAACATATGACCATATAGTAGAACTCTCCAATGTCGGGCAGGAATCCCTGCTGTCCTGGAAGGTTCCTAGAAACAGAGTTACCAGGTACCTAACTCTAATTTTTCTCTAGTCCCCTTCCAGGACAGCTTCAGAGAGGATAAGCAAGCATGACCTCGTAGAGTGTGCCGCTACATGTTCTGGTGGTTTCAGCCTTTGCAGATCATACGCTTGTTGGATAGCCAATTTCATCAATCTTCCTATAGAACTTTTAGAAGCTCTCAGGCCCTCTTTTGGTCCTGAGAACAGGATGAACAGATTATTCGACTTCCTGATGCTTTTTGTCTTGTTTATGTTCCAACACACAACGCCGGGCATCAATCCCTTGTAATGCTGCTTCTTTCTCATTTGATGGATTGGTACAGAAGGAGGGGATTACTACATCCTGTGTTCTGTGAAACACTGAAACCACCTTAGGTAGGAAAGCCGGGTCTGGTTTTATTATGATTTTGTCCAGAAGAATAGTGCAGTAGGGATCCAAAATCGATAAGGCGTGCACCTCACTGACTCTCCTAGCCGAGACAATGGCTACTAGCAGAGCTGTCTTAAGCACGAGAACATTTAAGGAACATGTCTCAATTGGTTCAAACGTAGGTCCCAGGAAAGCTTGTAAGACTACTGATAGTTGGAAAGTAAGTCGCCACCGGCGGTTTTGCCCTGGCTACCGCTCTCAAAAATCTTTTGATTAGCGGATTCTCTGCCAATTTCTGATCCAAGAAACAGGAACTCCCTCAACTTTCCCCCCACCCTGGCTACCCTGTCATTGGGTCTTGGGGGGTTGAGGAGGAGTAAAAAGAAAACTGCTTTTCCCTTTCTCGTACTCCCAGTTCTTGTTCCTGAACTGCCTTTGCTTTTGTGGCATCCTTTTTTATATGGGTGATTACACTGACCACTAAAAAACTTCCTGTTTTATTTTTTGGGGAGAGGAAACCCTTTTTTCCTAATCACTGATCCATCCAGGACCGTTTCCAGTTCTTGTCCGAACAAGAGATTCCCAGTGAACGGAAGACCTCAACTGGGCCAGCCAGACATCCAATGTTTGGCCATGCTGTGTTTGGCCATAGCTGGCTTAAATCCTACCCCTGCTGCTTCCCAGGCTCTTTTCAGCAGGGTCTCTGCTTTTTTGTCCATAGGGTCTTTCAGAAGCCCCATATCTTCAAAAACGACAAGTCTAAATTCTTAATGGAACTTGGCAAGAGATGCGTCCACCCTAGGACATTTCTCCCAAACTTCAACGTCCTCCTCTTGAAACTGAAATCTCTGTTTGAGCTTAGAGGCAAAAAACACTCTTTTCCGGATCAGCCCATTCAGTCTTAATCAAATCTTTAATGGACTGATGTACAGTAAATGTGCAACATTTCTTGGCCTGCAAACCTTTATACAGTCGTACACCGACAATTCCCTTGATCTTCTGCTAGTCCTAGCGTATCCCAAACTGCTTTAAGAAGCTCGTTTGTCTCATGGGAAGGGAATAAATACCTGCAGTGACTGGACCAGCCTTCTTTCCCTGACTCCACGCATTCCCCGTCTTCCGTGTCAAAAGAAGAATCTGCCAGCACGGACGCCCTTTTGCTAATACTTAAGTTAACCGACCCTGGGGCTAACTGCGTTCCTGAACATGAAGGACCTGAAACCACATTATGGCTTCCCATTATCCCTGCATCCTGGATCACCATGCGGAATGATTGAAAGGTCAACACCATCTCATCCCTTATACAGTCCATCAGGCCTTTAAACATGCTTGAAGATTCGTCCGCCACCAGCTTTCCTACACATGATTGGCACAGTGGCTTTTTGGAGGAAGAAGGATACTTAATATTGCATGCTGCACATTTCTTATTTCTGGACCGACTACTAATAGAGGAAGACAAAGTTCCTTCAGAGGGCTTGGTCTGCAAAACACAAACAAACCAAAGCCCTAATGAATACCAGAACTTAAAAACGTGTCAACCCATCCCTCATGTCCCCAAACACAGAGAAAGAGAATAGGAATGGGGGATCCAAAACCCCCTCTCCTACCTTAGAGCTGCTAGCACCAGGATCCACCAGATTAGATGATGCTGCCGTAGTGAATGAGTCTGCTCCAAGGGCCTCCTGCCCTGATGACTCCAGCTCCAGTGCCCCGCTTCTGATGCTTCCCCTTGCGCGTGTGGGAGCCGCAGCGGTTCTGCATCCTGCTGCCTCCCCCATCCTGGGACCGTCCATGTAGCGTTACCGAGTGGGTGCCTGCAACCAGAACCTCTGTCTTAAAGACCATACTCCGGAAGTGGGGCAGGCCGGAACTACGCCGTACCGGAAGTGCACGAAAAAGTCACTTCCGTCCTGAACGCACACCTGAACGGTCGCATATCGTACCCGCTGCCACCATGAAGCCTCCACGGGAGGAAATGGCGGCCCGGAACCCCCGCACCGCCACTCCACCAGCCGGGGACCAAGATGGCGGTCTAAACGGAAGCTGCCCAGGGGAATGGTGGCCTAACTGGAAGCTCCATGAGGTCCGACCGAACCCAATCATCACAGCCAGAAAGGTAAGCAACCCTCCGGAGGATCTCAGCAGGATGGTGGAAGGTCGCAGGACTAGGGAGGACTCCACTGAGTCCTTTATACCAGAAGGATGGTCGCCTTGCAATCCATGCAGTAAACCTCAGGCATACAAAAATAAGAAAACCTATAGACAGATGGGGCTGTCTTGGAAGCCCCCTCCATGAGCACCTCAGGTCCACTGTCCCAGGCATGCAGTACTCACGAACCGGGAAGGCCCCTGTTCATTAGCACGAAGGCCTGGCTTAAAACAACAAACATTATGATGTCCTGTTTGGCTGGAGGAAACACAAAAAAAACTGAGGTATGCAAGGCTTGTACTCTTTTTTTATTGGGTGTGGGTGATGTGTTTCCTGTTCCGGTGGGAGGAGCCTCTCTGATGCTGTCCTGGAAGGTGACTAGAGGAATTATTTTAAAGGTCCCCCGCCCCAGCGACCACGCGCGTCGTCTCGTAAACACGCTTCGGTTGAGCCTACGGCGATCACGCTACACATATTGGGTATCGCCGCGCACGCAGGAGTGAAAGCTCTAACACTCGCACCAATATTAATGGGCATCTCTAAACTGATGACCTGTAGGGGCTTTTGAAGCCTTGTTTATGCACTTCACTGAATTCTGTCGCAGTTTCACAGACGCACACAATTTCTAACCTGGGCATGTTGGGTATCTATTTACTCGTTGTAACCTAAACTTTCATATTTAAAAAAAAAAAAGGTTTTATATAGTGTTTTGGGCCACTAAATTTAACTTAAGTGCATTATTTCAGTACATTTTTGGATTTGATAATAGAATGCGCCAATGTCATGCAACATGAAGATTTGCAACTGCCCCCATTTAATTCTATAGGGTCTTGGCTTTCAGAAAATATATGTTTGGGGGTTTTAAGTAATTTTCAGGCCTAAAATGTGGATTATAACATGGGTGCAAGCATTGGGGTTAAAGGGCAGAGCAGTGAAATGGAAGTGATGCAGTAACATGTAGATAAAATGTTTTCTGTAGAACAGGAATGTTAAAGTGATAATAAATTCAAAAGGATTTTAAGCTATGTCAAATGCTGAAATCACTTACAATGAATGCCTTGATGTTTAAAAGTTTTAGTTTCCTGCAGAATCAGCTGGTCCCCTGAGCAGTGGTCCTGATAACCTGTTTTAGAGCGACTCCTTTCTCAAGCAGAGTGCTATGCAGTCACCCTTTTGTGTGCTAGTAGCTGCGTGCGTCTCCACAAACACAGCAAATCAAGCTATTCCCCTCTCTAAGCTAGTAGATGAACAGTTGCTGGAGTCAGCACTGTCTTTTGTGATCTTGTACTGGACAGGAAGTTCATGGAAGCTGAGCTGAGAGACTTGGAAATAGATGTTCAGAAATATGATGATTGTACGTGTTTGGGCAAAAATGTAAAGCAATGCTTTGTTGGGCAATGTATAGTTGCTTCATCTGGATTCATTATTGAAAAAAAGTTTGAGAGTTTAATACTACTTTAAATAAATTGTTTCCATCTTATATGTTAGGTAATAAACATACTTGTCCAGAAACAAGTCTTCCCCCACTGAATGTCTAGCATCAAGTAGACATGGTTACAGAGACAGCATTTTTGGGATTCAAGAGACAATTCTGTGCCCCGGCTGTTTTTTCCTGATGAAAAAGTTTTTTTTTTTAATTGTATAAGCATGTTGCTGTGGGTGGGCGCACAACATGCATTGGAGGAGGGGAACCCAGGAGGGCAAAATATAAGCAAACTAAACTTCAGGTTCAAGTGAATGAAGAACTGAATACTGGAGTGATGGCCATGATTTAAACTCACAGTTCCAGGAAACCACTAGAAGTCTTTAAAAAATTACAATGTATAATGAAGAAACAACAGTGCTGGAGAAGGTTGCACCATATTCCACTCCAAGAGGATGGAAATAGCTTGGAAATTACAAAGCAAATGAGACAGGAAGGTTAGAGACCCTGAAGCTTAGAATGTTAAAAGGTTTTGAAGTATGCCAACTCAAGATAGAGCCATATAGTGCCAACTATTGGGCTTCAGACTAACAGTACTACCTCAAGCAACAGGTTGTGGAAATCAAAGGTAGATACACTAGACCTGGATTCAAACCCAATAAATGTGCCCAGCACATCACTCTTACACCCATGCAACAACAAAAAAAAAAAATAACTTATGGTAAAGGGGAGTAAAATATTTCAATTTGTTTCTCTCTCTCACTTTTTTCCTATCATTGCTTTACAGCGGTAAACACTCTCTTGGTGCTGTGTTGTTGTGGAACAATAACAGAAATATGACATACCAATTAACTAGAATAATAAAGCTTTTAACTACCAAATGGAAAATGTTTAGCCACATATGATAACCTGAAACAGGAAACACATACTCTGAATGTATCTTCCTTGTCTCCCGAATGTCCATAGTCGGCTATGAGAGCAGCTCCTCCATATATTTTTAACTGGCTTACAAGCTTCTGAATAATTACAGCAGCTTCAGGACAAACCTCCACATGATTCCTATTTTCATCAGGCTACAAAAGAAAATATTAAAAACTTAAGCACATTCTCATTAAGAGCTAAAAACATGCTACTTAGCATGTCAACCATATTCCTGAAGCATAGGTTTAGGTATAAATTGCTATATGCTTGTCTGAACAAAGGGTACACATTTTTTAATCTGCCACTCCACTTCTACACTGGCTAAATACGTTATATTGGGCTTTCAGACAAAATGTTAGCTGAGCATGTATTCTTTGCTCAGTATATCACCGCAATAAAACTGGTCATGGCTGTGAGGGGCAGAATATGAAGTGATTGTGGAGATGGAGTGTGATTTGGAACATAGATAGGGCGGGGCTTAGCATAGCTGGGGGTCATAGGGAAAGAGAACTCTTTCTGAAGGGGGGAAGGAGTAAAGTGGAGGCTGATCGTCAGGGAACACAAATAGCAAAGTGTTGTTTAGGGGTTTTGACAGACATTGTTTTGATTTGTTTTTAGAGAATGCGAAAGAGGACCTGATCATGGAATGGAAAGAAAATAGATGGACAAATTAGAAAGTAGGGGGTCATGTATGAACTGCCATTTCTCTTACCTGTGGTAGAGAAAACAGTTACAGGTCTATTCACTAAAGGGTGAAGAGTTTGGAAAAGGCAAGAGAAGTGATCTAGGACAACATAGCTGAACTGGAAAGTGAGCTGATTTGGAGAATGTTTCCAAATCAGCTATTTTGGCCCAGATTGTTCACTTCTCCTGCCTTCTCCAAACTCTTCACCCGTTAGTGAATAGACCTGTTAGTGAGTCTGTAGTTGCAACACAACTCTGACAATGGGTTGGACTTGCAAAAGGTGGGAAGATGCAGGGCTTAGCACTTGCTGGACTTCTGCATATTTAAGAAATGTTAGCTGGCATTTTGGATATGCATGTATGTATGTATACATTATGGCAGCCAAAAGGACAGTGTGGCCAGTATTTGCAGATAACATACCAATGAAATAATAGATTTATAAATAGGATTTATAAAGAAAATATTTATACAAAAGCCAGAAACCATACCATGAGTAGTGTGGATTGCAGCAGACAGTATTGTGGAGAGAAGTACAGACATGATTAGGCTCATGGACAATGCCATACCTTATCTTAAAAAAAACCCCAGGAAGTGAGAGGAACAGCTGGCAACATACTTCCTCTAACCTTCTGGGAAACAAAAGTGTGCAGGTCTTCTGACCCTCAGCTGTCTTATAGCAGCAAAGTGCCACAACGTTTCAGCCAAGGAATCACTGTTGACATTTTCTATAGCAATGGACAACACTTTCAACTAAGGCTGTCCACATGAAGTGTGCAATGGACAAATTCCCCGACACTTCCTGTAAAGTTCAGGTTGTGTGTGACATTGCTTTCACTGCACTCATAATGCACATGTATATAGCTCCTGAAACGCTACCAGGACCTCTCTTTTCCACCCTGACTGGACATTAGCCTACTACCAGCAAAATGTGGCCATATTTTTCCCTCTTCTTTCCACTTTGACTAACGCAAACAGCAGGATATCAGCCTACTGCTGCAATAATGCCTCTCTGCAGACCTTTTTTCTCTCCCTCCACCAAGTTTTATCCCTGATGCTCAACACCCCTACGTTACCTCAGACTCCTGCCTGCCTGATCTAGCAGTTGCTTCTGAAGAAAAAACATGTAATATTCAGGTGTCGGTGTGGCCAGCCATTAGCTGCAAGAGTGTAAGCTATGCACTCCTGCCAGTCTGTGTGGGGACTACAAGAAAGAGTAAAGGTGCAGGGAAGATGGACATGCAGAGTATGTACTGTGCCTAGTGGGGCCTCTCTCCCAATCTGTCATAACCTGCAATATGGAATCAGCGGCTGCAGCAGCAGGCACTACGCCAGGCAGCCGTCAGAGCAGGGAGTAATAGGCCAGGTACACCAGCAAAATGTTTTTTTTTGTGTCAGGGAAGGACTGGAGGCATGGTGTAGTGAGCATGGGCTACACCTCGCTCTCACTACAGTGCATACAGTACATAATTATCCTCCACCCCACTCTCCATTGCATCTGCACAACTACCACTCACCTTGCTCCCACCACTGCATTTACACAACCACCCCCCACTGCACCTGCATAAACGCCACTCTTGCCACCACACCTGCTATACTGCCTCTCTCACTCTGCTCTCTCCATCGCACCTACATGGCTACCCCTTACCCTGCATGATTGCCTGCATGGCTACCCCTTACCCTGCATAACCCTTACCCGGCAACCACCATCCACCACAGTGCCTGACCCCTCATCCCCCTGATATGATCACCTGCTCATCCTTTGCTTACTCCCTGCTTTTCCCACCTGCACAGCTAGCTCCCTGTTCTCAGTACTCTGCCTGCATGTCTCTTCCTCCTGCTCTCACTATTGCACCTTCAAGGCCGCCCCCCCCCCCCCTCCTCTAATCCCCACGCTTATCATTGCACCTGATCCCTATACTCCGCCCCTGCTCTCCCCACCATGCATGCACCTATTTCACCTTGGCACCTGCAGGCCCTTCTCCCAGCTTTCATCAGTATGCCTGCTTGCCGTCCCAGGATACAAATGTTTGGCTTTACATACACTTTAAAGCTGCCCATACACCTTACGAATATCGGCCGATTTTCGAATGCGCTTTCGTCTGATATTCGTAAGGTTGATGGGCAGTGTACAACTGCAAATAATGTACAATCCATCGCCTTTTGACTAACCAGCAGGTTAGAAAACTTTGGTCGATCGTATGATTTTCGCAAGGTTGGTGGCGTTTCCATAAGTCAAAATCCATACGATTTTACACTGCTTATGCGCAAACAAAAATATGTGCGGTCGATTACCGCAATTCGTCCAGGTGCTTTTTTTAAATTACTGCTGATTGAACTGTGCGATGGCCGGGGCAGGATGGAGCTGACATACGCAAATCGTACGACGGTTCGATCATCAGACGATCGCAAGGTGTATGGCCAGCTTTAGATATAACAAGTGGCCACTCCCTTGTAGCACCTCAAGTGTTTATTATAATGAAAGCTACTGTATTTTTCAGCCAAAAGGTAGAAACCATGTGAGTTCTTGGCTAAGAGAGGGATAACTGGACAATCCATTCTTTGGGGAACACGTGTGTAGAGAGGTACATTTTTAATTGTCAAGAGGTTAAAAGGTGAGGCTGCTTATACTGTATGTAGTATTTATTGGCTAGTAAGGTGATACATAGTGAGCAACACAAACTGCATATGCATTAACCCCTTCGTGACGGGAGACGTACAGTGTACGTCCCGTCACAAAGTGGCTATATGACTGGCCACGTACACTGTACGTGCCGAGTTATATTAGCCTCTGTAATGCTGGTAACTGCTGATTCTCAGCAGTTCCTCACAGTCATGAAGGGGTTAAAATGTGGCTCAGTTAGTGAAAAAAACAACTGCACTGATGTCTATGACTTCATTGCCAGTATCATACACTACTATACATATACTATACAGGTAGAACAGAAAACCCAATTCAGGTACAAACAGCACAGTTTATTTAAAAACTTACTTCAATGTAAACATCACCTGGAGGCTGGTTATGATCTTTTAGGGAGAAATAAACGAATGTTTCCCTGCAGAAGTAGTTTATTGCCTATACCACTCTCACTAGGATATAATGAAATTATCTCTAACATCTTGCCACCCTTTTTTATTCTTAATTATGAAAAAGTGATCAGAAATAGAGGCATATTTATAAAGGTGTCTATACACCTGCTGATTATCGTACAATAATCAGGGGTGATCCCGCGATCGTACAATAATCGACAGGTGTTTGGACAGCGTGCCACTGCATCTACTTTCGTCTTCCTAGCACGCTGGAAAACCCGCCAAAAATCGTACAATTTTCGGCCGGGTTAGTAGTGTGCTTGGAAGACCAAAGCCGCACGGGCTGATGTGCGCACGCGCACACTGCTTGCTCAGCATTGCAATCATCGTCAAGCCCTCCCCTCAACGGGGAGGGCTTGCGATGATCGCAAGTACGATCTGCCTGTCCGAGATGGGCAGGTCGTATGAAATTTTAATGACCTTACAACCATCACACAACGAAAGTCATGCGATGGTTGTAAGGTGTATGGCCAGCTTAAAAAAGTGAATGTGACATTCAACAAACAGTCACTGCAGGTGAATCAACTGAAATGTAAAATGCATGCACCAGGAAGCTACACCTGCAGTGAACATTTGATGAATGCCACATCCATTGCTTTATAAATATTCCCCAAAGTGTGAAACCAATATTTCGTTTTTGTACTGGCCACAGCAATTAGAGAGATCTAGGACCCAGCATAAGAGTCCCTACTAGATGGCAACCTGAGATACAATTTGTAATCAACCATCAACACTTACATGTAAAAGGTTAACGTGTTCCTTCCAGTAAAATGATGAAAACTGTACAATGTATTGTGCATGTATTCATTTAAATAGATCTATTTAAAGGACACCTACAGTGTTTAAAGTGATAGTAAAGTCAAAATGCTTTTAAGCAATTTCAAATGCTGACTGAATCACTTACAATGGATGTTTCTCCTTGATATTTAAAAGTTTTAATTTTCTGCAGATTCAGCTGGTTCCCTGAGCACTGGCCCAGATATCCTGTTTTAGGGTGGCTCATTTTCCCTTGCAGGGTCCTATGGACCCAGTAAGCTGTGTCTCCACAAACACAGAAAGGCAAGACACCCCCCCCTCCCTTCTCCTAGCTGGTAGTTGGACAGTTGCTGGACACTGTGCTGTCCTTTGTGATCTTGTACAGAACAGGAAGTTCAGGAAAGCTGAGCTGAAAGAGTTGGAACCAGCTGATCAGATACATGATGATTGTAGGTGCTTGAGAAAAAAAACTAAAGAAATACCAGAGATGCCAGACTATACCGTGCTGGTTACAATAAGCCTTGTAACCAAGTGTGCATGGCAAACACTATCAGTCAGTCTTTGCATAGGTTTACCAACTCTCTCCTTTGTGACAGTGGCTGGTAAAAGTTGCTTAGGTACCAAGCACTGTATTGTGGGATAGGAAGAAGTTAATGGCTCCTTTCCTCATACCAAGGATTCAGAATATGTTAGGGCACCCAGCAGCACTGTTAGGATGGTCATTGCAACAAGTCTGGAAGCTTATGGTGCCCGAGTACCCAACAGTTCTTACAGGATTATCATTTTGTCCAGGCTACAAGTTTACATTAAAACTGATCTCCAGTCACCATTGACAATTTACTAATTTAGTTGCCCCCCTTGAATAGCAAGGGTTAACTACTTGTTTGATCTAGAGGAAAAAATAAATACTTACCATGTTCTCCTGGCAGTCACAGCTCTCCTTCATTGTCCTCGACGCTCAGAATGGGGGCAAGTCCTCAAATACAACACTAGACTGCTGGTTTTGCATTGTAAGTGATAACGTTTGAGAGGCTGTGACTGGGCAAGCAGCTATGAGGAGTGACTTCATGGGACTGGTCGCAAAGCCAGGGAGGAAGCCTGCAGGAGTAAGGCCCAGTTCACACCAGAAACGGCATCACAACTGTGTGCGTCTGTGCAGTTGCACTGCGATCCGTTTTGACATGCATTTATATGCGTTTGCACTGCGTTGTGATGCAGGTAAAATAGGACAAGCAGTACTTTTTCTGACTGCACCTGAATGGATGGCAATGGTGTGAATTAAGCACAAGAAAGCCCATAGGAAAGCATTGCGATGTATTTTGACTGCAGCAGTCAAAATAAACGGACCGCATCACAACTGCATATGGTGTGAACTGGCCCGGAGGGCTAGGGTAAGTATGTCCCCTTATTTGTTAACCCCTAAACTAATATTATTATTATTATTACATAGTATTTATATAGCGCCAACAGTTTGCGCAGCGCTTTACAATATAAGGAAGAAAATTCAAGACAAGATGGTAAGGGGGGCCCTGCCCCTGAGGGCTTACAATCTAAAAGAGGAGGGGAAATTATACATGAGGTAGCTGTGGGAATGAATTATGTGAGAATGTGATGAACAGTTACCCTTGCTCAGCAAGGAAGGGAGCAGCTTACAAGTCCTAAGAAAAGTTGCCCGCATTAGTTTTCTTTTTTCAGGCATTTTCTACATTATTTTCAACTGTTAATTGTGCTAACATCACACTTCCTGTCCCTCTGTGTCTGCACTCAATATCTATGGACAGAGCTACGGTTGTCACACTGGCTGGAATTCAAACATGTCTGCCTTTGATTGTCTTCACTACATATGGAATAATGGGAGTAGTTCCAGTTCAACTCAAAGGAAGTGAATAAGTAACTGCATTTCTGTCAAGATCAACAGGTGTTTTCTGTACTTACTGAAAATGTTCTTAACCCGAAAAAAGAAAAGTAATGCAGCCACCATATCCAACGACAGGTAAGCTGCAATACATCAATTTTGTTTTGTTCAGTTTAGTTATGCTTTAAGATCCCAAGGCAAAATAATATATTTCTATCAAAGTTACATACAAATACCTGAACAAATGTTCTTGCAATAAGAGAACAGCCAGAACCAAGAACAAATCTTAATTTTTGTGGATTCTCTGGATCAACATCAACTAGTATTTCTTTCCATTTATCTTGGATTTTCTGTGAGGGAATCAAGATTTTTTTCTGTAAGATTGTTTGGAAAAATATATTCTTATCATCTACTGCAGGGGTGGCAAACTCAGGCCCTCCAGCTGTGGTGAAACTTCAAATCCCATGATGCATCTGCCTCTGCGAGTCGTGCCCGTGGCTGTGAGAATCTTGCAAAGCCTCAAGGGACTTGTAGTTCCACAACAGCTGGAGGGCCGGAGTTTGCCACCCCTGATCTACTGCATTAAATAGAATAACATGTTTTTTACATTTACAATAGAATGACGGTTCATGACTAATACTGTATATTCTAACACTTTGTTAAGGACTGGACATTTCTATGTGTGCAAATATGATGGTGCATAATGTACGTTTGACTGTATTTTCAACATATGTATAGACACTACCTGATGGTATACCTGTCTCAATATTTGTTCTCCTCCCTACCAAACAAAAAAAGTATGGAAGCTTGTGATATTTGTCTTTGTAAATGTGATAAGTGTGATTCCTAGGAGGTCCATGAAGGTCTAGGCCAGGAAGTCATTACATCAAGATAAATCTACTCGTTATTTTGGAAATGCCAAAAAATGTAGTCAGTTCCCCAGTTACAAGATAACCTAACCACATATTTCAAAGTTTTTCATTATGCGATTATTTACTTTTTGCCTGCTGTCAGGTCTGCTAGTAACATGTTTAGAAGCATCTAAAACATTATCCTATGGACCTGTAGATGACAAAGAGAAAAAGAGAAAGGGGTTGTTGCTTTATGAGACAAATAATTACTGATACCTGACCTGATAACAAATGGATTTGGAATTGTGTGTATAAGGTTTACCACCAGTGATGGACATAGTTAGCAAATGGCCCCCATTGAAGAACAATTTAAGGCTCTCTCATTCATTTAATACCCAGGTAAAGACATGTATTCATATTCCTTGTGTACAAAAAGGCAGATAAATACAGGTTACGAGTAGCCTTTATGAGGAAGTGAATTCTCTCAAGGTCCATGATATGCAGCTAGGCTTGTACAGCAAACACCTAATTTGCTTACAGGTGAAAAATATTAATAGGAAATGGTAGAAGCACTCATGTCAAGAGCTGGTCTGGCAGGAAAGGAAGGATGTACTCCTTGCCTAACTACTTAGATATTACAAACTGGAAAATGGTTTTGGCATGTCTCTCACTTCTCACATGTCCAAGAAAAAGAAAGTGCTCAGATCTAAATGAGCATAGGATCTCAGTGTCTCTCTGCTCAAGTAAACTGGTCCCTATGCTCCAAAAGGCCCCTGTGCAGCTTCACGGTCCCTTCAAGATACAGATGACAAGAAGTGTCTGGCCATAAACATGTATGCTCAGCCAGTATGGGCTTGCATGTTTATACTACAATTGTTCGGTCTATGACCATTTGACTACCATGTCATACGTATGGCTAGCCTAATAATGTAGTAGTGTCAACTTGAAGTGAGAAGGGGAAGCTCTGACATTGATTCATGAATGTTTGTCTATTTTCTCCTCATGGCAATGTTGGAAGTAACATCATGATGGTTTAAAAACGATAAAAAGATTCTATGCTTAGAAGTTTGTATATACTCTAGAACGGTATGATAAAATAAAGCTTTATCATGGGGCCCTGGTGCTGCAGGAGACATTTTGATGTTATAAATGTCAAAATGCAATATAACTTGTATGTGTAAAATTCTGTGAACATAAAAGTACAAAAGTAAAGTAGTACCTGTAATTTATGTATGGGCAAAGCATCAAAAAATTCATGTGCTATGTAAAATGTATAACCTAAAAAGAAAAGAACATATTAAATATAATAGTATATTTAAAAAAATATAATCATAAATATTAAATTATATCGAATACATGTTAGCCTTTCAGTCTTATATCAGTTGTAGACATAATTGCTGTTTTAACAAATCTAGGTAGGGAACTTTCTTACAAATCAAATAAGTGAGCACTATAGATAAAAATGCACCTAAATACTTTCATTATTTGCTTTTCTACCAGGTTACAGGACCCCCTTGCTCATCCTTGGCTCTACACCAGGGGTGTCAAACTCAATTTCATCACGGGCCGCATCAGCATTATGGTTGCCCTCAAAGGACCGGTTGTATCTGTAAGACTATATAAATGTATCTACTTTTTATCATATTAAAGAATTGCCTCTGCATTCTATTATTATTTATTAATATCCTCTATATATATATGTAATAGCTAGGAGAACATACAACATAGAGAAGATGCCACCAGGCTATTGGAAGGGAACACCGTAAGCCACCTACGGCTTGCTATGAGATTGCTGTCCTTCGTTGCCATAGCGGCAGCAGGACGCAAGCACAATGCGCAGGCGCGGCTTCACGGCGCAGGCTGAATCCATGCCAAGGGTGGACCCTACAGGCCACCCCCGGCCTGCTACGTTGCTGATGTTCCTAGTTCCCATAGTGGCAGCGGGACGCTAGTGCAGTGCGCAGGCTTACTGCACAGGCGTAGATGAAATTCACACCGCCGACGGACGTCCAAATACACTCAGGTGTGGGGGCGTTATGCCGGCGGTGGGGGCTATTTAGGAGGGGGTGTTTAGCAGGTATAGGACACGACGGTGGTGGCCTGCGAGCAGGGGGCATTAAGGTGGCTGCAGGAGATTGGGACCGGACCGACCGGATCTTTTACTTCCTTCCACCCAAACCCGTTGCTCCATGAGTAGAACCTGACAGGTATGTGTACCCTAATGGATATGCTTACTAAGAAGGGAGATTATATATAT